TAGAAAAAAATACTTGTAGTACAATAATTATGTTATTTATGGCGACCTGGATGAATACGTACTTGCACATGTGCAAACACTGGAAAAATTATCTAGAAATAAGTAAAAATGTCTTAAATTAAGTGTATTTATTTGAGTAGGTAAATGAGATGATTTTCCAATGGAATTAGTATTTTTACTGTTAAAATAAGATATTAAGATAAAATGCGCTTGAAATAAGACAATGCAATTGCGTTTTCTTATTTTGAATATAAATTCCATTGGTAAAATGTCTCCTTTACCTTCTCAATTCAAGAACAAATACACTTATTTTAAGAAAAAAAATCACTAGATTTAGATTTTTTTCAAGTGAATGAGCTGATCGTGTGGATCGTGCTTCCAATACAGATCGGGCTTCGCGGATCGGGTAGTGTCATGGGCTTCTATGTACATAGCGTAGCATGTGACTCCATAATGCTAAAAATATGTATTTGCTCCAACATTAAAAGGAAAAAAACAAGAACGTGTATATTTGAACATTGTTGTTTGTTTACATTATATCTCAGATTATCATTATATTATCAAATCTCTGCAGAGCTGCAGATTTCCTACAGAAATGTTCAACATGAGAGAGAATTCCCTGCATCCTTGCTTGTATTTTCATACCCAACTAAAAGACAGGAGAAAGTTGGATATAATATGTTGTTATTAAATATTTGAAAACAACTTCTAGCCAGAAATATTTATCTTTAGGCCTCATATATGTAACCTGTATTACCTTGCTTCTACTTGGTGTTGTTTTTAGCAGCGATCATCACATGCAGCTCTCCACAGGACCTGACGGTGTGAAATTATTCATAGTGTAACCTAATTTAGCGCTAAACATGTGATCATAAAATGTGATCATAATAAAATAGTTAATTTAAAATCCTTCTGTCAGCCAATACATAACGTTTATCTTGATGCGTTGTAAAATCACCTTGTCATGCTTTCTGGCTCGCTTATTTTTGAAGTTTTCAATGTTTTTCCCCCAGTTGCTGTCTCTGTTTTTTTCTGATTCTGAGGGATTTTTTTTGTGCCTGAAGCCTTCCAGGTTTCTGTTTTCACATCTCTTGCCAAGTCGCTCCTCAAGTGGCTTTGAGGCACCACATCACCGGTACTGCTGTAAGGGAAGTTTTGGAATAGCTTTCTAATCTATTCACAGCATCTGACGGAAACTCAAGGCTGATGCATAATAAATAACAAGAGATAAATGTTGAGAAAGAATCTGACACCTGGGCGCCATCTGTGTCAAGAAAGTTCTAAGATTTTTCATTTATTCTTTTGTTATGATAAGTAACACATTTTCAATAAAAAGCTGCTTTTGTGACTCAAAATGCTTGCCGAAGAGGTTAACCTGTGCTGCAACCACTGAGGTTCCCATTTTCATTTTTAGAAGTAAGCACCTTTCTTTGTTGTAAGTGAGCTGTAGGAGAGAGTTAAAGCTTTGTGACAGAGATGAGTCACTAGCATGGAGGGAAGCAGAACACAGGGATCCAGTCCATCATCGTCCTTCTCTCAATCTCCCCCGCAGTGACTTTAAAGATGAAGGCAGTTGCTTTGTCCTCAAAACGGTCAAAAAGCCTCTTATAGCTGAAAATGACTTTTTGCCAGCCTTGTAGAAAATCTATTAGCTTTCCATGTTTTTTCATCTTGTTTTTATTGCTGGAAATAAAAGAGGTAGTTCTATAGGGGACAATTTTAATCAAGTTAACTTTGGATGGTTTAATGTTAATATTTTAAGGAAAAGCCTGATTATAAATGCAAATATTAGTAAAAAAACTGTGTGCTATGTTTTTTGTTTTTTTTCGTTTGATATTGGAGTTTATTGCAAAGTTACTATTATGATCAGTGTTTGAGGCATTACTAGTTACTTCTCCAAAAAGTCACTGAGTTTATAACTGCAGTTACTTCTTCCTATCTAAAATGTTTTAGAATTTAACTCTCTTGTTGTTGAAACTTTAAAACTGAAGGTTCGGTGGTTGGATTTTAAATTTTTTTTGTTATTCATTAAAGAATAAAAACATTAGTTAAAAGAACTAAATACATGAAAACACTGAATGCTGATCTACAGCATATTAATGCATGTGGCTAGACAAGTGACTTTGTTAGTTATAGACGAACTGCAAAAACAGATGTTTACTGTTGGTTGTTGACAGCCTTTAACTTGCTATTAATTAGGTTTAAAAATGATGTTTTTCAAGTAATTTAAGAAAACTAAAATATATTTTGCTGAAGAAATAAACAGGGGTTACACTATACCAGAAAAAAAGAACAGGAGGAATTTATAAGCCCATTATTTCTTTATAAAAAAAAAAAAAAAAACACAAAGTGTTTAAGTGAAATCTAAACATTCGCTTCAAGCTGGATTGTTGTGAGGTCTGAGATCACAACAAATCCATCTTGAAAGACTCCTGTTTACACGTCTATCTCGTAACAACCAGCGAGTCTAACCAATGGCATGTCAGAAATGTTTCTTTAGGCGGGACATGTAGGAATGTCGACAGTCAGAAGGGCCTTGCCGGGTCATTACAAACATGGAGCTGGAGGACTCACCTGTCGATCCTGCAATTTACTCGGTTTTAGCTGATATAGCAACAATTTCTCATTTAAAAAAGAGCAAAGAGAAGCACTTTGTGCATTTTTACATCGCAAAGATGTCTGCGTTCTTTTTCTTCCGACAGGATTTGGAAAAGATTTGATTTATCAAACGAAACGTGAATCGGCTCTACGCTATTGCCTGTCCTCTAAATCTGTTTTCAAGACACGCCCACGTTAAGGCTCCTCGGCCAATCACCTTCACATATCTCAGCATCTCAACTCCCTGCTCCTCTTTGCCCTGTCTGCAAAGTCTCTTTGATTAATGAGTTAAAGTAATGCACTACGTTAGATCTTAAGTAATGTGTCTAGCAGTGTTTAGCAGTGAAAAGTAGTTAGATTACTTTTTCAATGAAAGAGCAATGCAATTGCTGACACTGATTATGATTTTGTCTATATATATATATATATATATATATATATATATATATATAGACATATGTGTATTTATATGTATCTCTTTCCATGTGTGTTAAATAAGATCTTTGTGGCAACACTACTAAGGGATAAAGCTTTTTTTAGGAAACAGAACTAACACCTTGAGCACCTTGATGGTTTGGTTTTCTGCTACTATAAAGGCGAAGCAAGACGTGTGGCTATCTTTATCCAGCATAAAGGGTTTTGTTAATTTTTGTAACCATTACTATTTATTTATTTTTTTTATTACTGTAGCAGTGAGGTGGACATTATGGTTGGTGATGTCCTGTCCTATCTCTTATCAAACATATTTGATGAGCCTCAATTCAATGCTACAAAAATGTAAATAACTGACATACCGGTAATTAAATCAGTATTCTATTGGTTACCTTTTTATTTTTATTGTTTCTGTGATGATGTCCACTCTGCTCTGCGGTTTCTCCTATCTATTTTTCTTGATAGTGGCAGATTTTTCGTCCCTAACAGAGCTTCAGTTGGAAAACTCAAACACAACGTTTAAATTTCTATTAAAGATGTTCTACTAATGGTGTCGTCGTCCAGCCCCCCCAGTGAAGGTAGCTGCAGAGACAAGCTTTTATAAATCAAAATGGAAGAATGCTCAATGCAGCAAGAATCAGGAGTTGATTTCATTTTTGACTTTGCTAACCATAATTTCAAAATGGAGTGGACAGAACCTGAGCCTCCGTTGGATGTTTCAGTAGTGTCATGTTGACTGTTGCTTAAATCCCTGAGCCTATTGAACAGCATTGATTCAGGTTCATATGTGTTTTCTCTTTTCCCATTGTTTGATATGAAAGGTGGGAAACTGTACATTGAATTAAGACCCTTTAAATCAGTCTGCATTTATTTACATGTCAGACATTCATCCTTTTATTGGCTGTTTATAGTAATGCTGTTGGTTCTCGCTCTTTAGAAGGCACACATAAATCCACAATGAACCTGTGTATAGGTCTTGTTCAGATGCTTTTTTTCTTCCTCACTCTAAGCTTTCCCATTAAAACACAATAGATCTCTTTCTGCAGACAGTCTATTAGTCCAAGAGTGCTTTTAGACCCTAAATGTTTACCACTCTGCTTAGTCTCCATTGATGAACTGTGTTTTAGGTTTGCATACAAGTGCAGCTAAAGGGAGCAGGTGGCTGCATATAATAGAAAGAAATGGGTTTGACTAAATTAATGGGTCTAAAAGTCTACAAGTGTGATGACAGTTTTTCAGCAGCGCTGACAGGAAAATAAAGCAAATAGCTGAGTTATGATAATTAGAAAACAAAATGTTGGGCTACGATAGCAGCATCATTTCTCTGACTATAATGACTTTCCTTCAGGTTGCTCTGCACCAACTTGTTGAGCAACTCCTGAGTGTGGAGGAGCCTTTGTAACCAGTGCTGTTAAAGGTCCAATCATTAACCCTGCCACATTGAGAGATTGTTACGCAGGTCAGGCTTGAGGGAAGCCAACACACGGCAGCCTATCAAACACCACTATACTCACCATCCAAATGATCTTTGCTTTGTGTTGATGGCAGGAGTTGTGGGTTGCCTCTTGTTTCTGAATGACCTCCCTGAAAGATGACAATGTCTCACTCATTGCTCATGTCTCGCGCCTCATCTACACCGCATCGGTTCTTTGGGTTTGGAGCTGAATGGCTGTCATTTCAGCTTTAGTCCGGGGAAAATGATGCCCGCAGCGTAGCGGAACATTGCAGCTACGTCACAAATGGCCAAAATGAAAAATTGAACAATTGTGTGCATTTGGGACGCCATGTTGCCAGGTGGCTCCCCTGCTTCTGGTGGAGGATATTAGAACATGACAGTGAGGAGATGGATAACATTTGTCTGGATGGGCCTCTGCTAATGGCCAGGTTGAAATATCATATTGAACTCATTTGTATTCTTGAAAACAAATTTGCTTGTTTGTCATGAAATCATATTTGTTATCTCTTCGCAGATGGCAATATTTTGAAGGTAATTGATGGAGCACATTTGAATTGTGTGGTAAAAACACATCCTTCCCTGAATTGTGCAATGCACCTCCTTCCTGAGAATGCTCTGGTTTCGGGAAAGGACAACATATCCGGACTCATCCCTTCTCCAACAGGTACTCTTTTCACACTTGCTCTGAGACCTCAGTTTAGTAAACAAACACTGATGGTTCTGTGATGTTTTTTAAATGTCCTTTTGCTAAATAATTACAAATGTTGAAATGAAAGACATTAAAATTGACTTTTATTTGTTTCAAATTCAATTCTATTCAGTTTATTTATATAACACCACAACACATGTCATCTCAAGGAACTTTACAGAGACAATTCAACCAGATCATGCAGTCAGATTGGTTCAAAGTTTTCTATCTAAGGAAAACCAGTTGATTACAATACTAATTGACTTTAAGGTAATCTCACACCAGGCATGCTTGTAGCAACAGTGGAAAGAAAAACTCCAGAACCATCTGCCGCTCACACTTAGAGCTAATCTGTTCTCACACAGATCATGGTTTTCAACATTTATGTGAGAACAGATTCTTTCTCCAAATATAAGCCCTGACTTTCCATTGAGATTTCAGCTGTTTTTTGTTTCTTTTTTTTTATATCATTTACCATAGAGCAGTAAAGTACATTAAAACATATCGTTTCACTTCTCACTATGAGCAATGTTTCAACCAGAAAGTACTGATTGGATTCAATATTTGGTTGGCTAATACATGTAAAATTCCATCCTTCAAATCTTTGCTAACTATATGTGGACTCAGACTATTCTGTGGTAAAACACCATGATTTAAAGGCATTTATCAAAAAAAAAAAATGTCTGAGGATGTTATTCCTAGAGTAAAATAATAAAAAGCAGTTATTCTTAATGCTGCTGCTTACTTTTTAGCCTTTTGCTGAGGATAACAAGCTGATTTTACTGTAGCTGTTTTTAATTAGTTGAGTTCTCAGCCTGCATAGCCAGCCTGCATCCTCCTGTTGGCTTGGCAAGTTTGGTTTTTAGATATTGTTCACTTATTGACTGTGAATCTAGTTATCACATTATAACCGTCTGTGTTTTTTTGCTATCAGACATTCAGTATTAACAAACAACCCAATATGTTAAAAGAATGTAGTGCATTTCTTTCAGCCAGCTTTTCTTTTTTTGATTTCTATTTTTCACAAATCTTTTTTAAAGTACAGATAGTCTGACACGTTTGCTGGATTGTTGTTACAAGTATAGGAATGGTAAAACAGATCATTTTAGTGGCTGTTATTGCTTTTTGCAATCCTTTGTATTTGCCAATATGCCAGTTACTGGTCCTTCCTTTCTCCCCACTACTCCAGAATAAATGCTTTTTGAAATGTGCCGAATCTATGCTTCACTACAGCTGCCTTCTAATGTAACACATACAAATGTGTGGCAATGATTGGCCTATGATCTGAAACATCAATCTGCTCGCATCACAAGAAGGAAACGTTTTAGCTGGACCTCCCGGAAAGACTTTTTGGTCCAATTAAATATTCCCATATTTGCTCACCTCACCAAAAAAAAGGATTGCTAATAACCTTCATTAAAGCAGTTTCTAATGGCTTTGGAAAAACTTCTCAACCTGAGGTCTAGTGGCAAGTGGACACTGCTGTCCTGCAATAACTTTTGGATATCAAAGTTCTGCATTAGCACAAGGAATGAAGAGCTGGTTAAAGTAGTAATATCTGTAAATATATGTGAATATCTGTAAAAGGAGCCACAAAAAAAAAAAAAAAAAAAATAAATAAATATATATATATATATATATATATATATATATATATATACACACAAACCCAAATGTATAGCTTAGCAGTTAATTTCAGTCCCTGTTCCCTCTCTTCATTAGTTTGTTCTTTTTTTTTTTGTCAAAACATACTGAAGCAGAATCTTTTAAGTAACATATTTTGTATTCTTGCAGGATGTCGGGGCCTCTGTATTCAACACAGTATGAGAACAAAATATGTTTTCTTCACAAAAATGTACAAAAACACCTCAAAATGCCAGAGCTACAGATTCTGCAGCCTATTCCTGAGGCTCTTGTTCCAATGGCTACACAAAGAAGGAAACTAGCTTAATACTTTTGAATCTTTCGAATTTAACAAAGAATTATGTGGTTTGGTTCAACTTATCACATTTGGTACATCAAGCGTAATCCATTATTGCATTCAAAACTGCACACTCATCCTCCCCCAGCTGTCACATAACATACAGGACATTTATCACAGTGGTTCTTTTTTTGGAAACTTGGTTCCACCAGAAGTTAAAATGTCTGCAGTACTTAGAAAGTAAGTTTCTAAGGGGGGAACGTAATGAAGTCTGACAGTGCAAAGCTATAATCATTGGGAGTCAGTGGGAGGTATGGTAGCAAACTAATCCTCTTCATGTTCTGGGGCTGTGAGCAGCAGAGACCTAAGCTGCCTTTTAAGACCACAGCCATCAGCTTGATATTGGCGCAGCATTTAGAATAGCTAGTCTCTGTGCTACAGAGACGGGGGGCTGCAATGAAACACTGGATGGAGGCATTACTCTTTAGTCAAATACAATCAAACTGTCCGTTTTCCATTTGCTGTCTGGATGTCAGATTTTCAGACTTCATCCATTAGCTTAAATACTTCCTTCTAATCAATTCTGATTTAATTTATATCAAATATTTGAATAGGAACCATTCCTTTCATGCCCTCCCTCCCTTCTTTAGTTCGGTTTTTCATTATTAAAAGCACACAGAACAAAGAAGCAGCGGAACAAAAAGCTAAGTAAACAGCCTGGAGAGACATCACCATACAATATCTATACTAAGTAGCACTTGTGTCTTGTCATCTTCCTACAAATATTGTATGTTTGTGTATTTCTTCTGACAGATTTCTTCCTAAATCCCTTTTCTGTAGGCTAATACTTGTTAGATAAGTGTTTTAGTAAATATTTTCAACCAGTTGATTCATTTTAAATCAACTCCTTGAAATTGGCTTTTTGCCAGCTGCCAATATTGAACAGATGTATTAACGCTCAATACAGTTTCAGTCTTTATTTAAATCTCTTTATGGCTTTGAGTGATAATTGCCAATTATTATATAAGCTAGGTTTATACCAACTTTTACTATTATATTCTAAATAATCGGTCACATACAAATATTTGATTTGATCCAAGTTGTTCAGAAAATAGTGAGGTTGCAGCAAATCATGACTTAATTACATATATTTTGTTGCAATGTCATTTAATATCCTCCCTGTCCTTTAACAAGCTGAGTCTTACTCTGTATTTCTTTTACTTGAGCAAATTGGTCAAACGCTGTTTTGTTGATGGTTTACACCGTTGCTTCCAAATATATTCCCATTCAGTTTGTGGATATCTAAAGAGATAATGAGAATTGCAAGCGCTTAAAGAAAGTATTTTGTGAAACCAAAGCAACCCAGCCTTTTTGCAGCACATACAATTCCTCCAACTGTTATCTTGGTCTTCAGTGTTCTGGTTCCTATGACAAATATACATATATATATATATATATATATATATATATATATATATATATATATATATATATGTATATATATATATATATATATATATATATATATATATATATATATATATAAATACAGAAATATAGTGACAAAAATAATTGTCTGATCCTCGGATAATTTTGCAAGGAGTGAGTCCATAATAAAGGATATATTAACTTTCAATACAGTTTCAGATTCTTTATTCATCCCTATAGAGCAAAAAAAAAAAAGATTTTCCTGTTAGTTAAATTAATATCTGTTTCCCAAAACTGATTTAAACATGTTTTATTTTTGTATAGACTTTTTGTTTTTGGTCCTGAAGCAATCAATAGTAACAACTTTAATATCTTGGGTCCCCTCATTGCAAAGGGATGAACACTTCCACACACACGTTATCAGTAAATGTAAACAGCAATGTGTTACATCACTGGCTACTATCTGATAGATTGTTAAATTATTAAATGTCGTCTTTAAGTGTGCCATAGCGTCTTCAAGCCTGTTCACAGATATTTTTGTTTTGCTTATTAAGCCTATTTCTGGATAGAATAAATGTCTCAGACATAGTGTCTCAATAAGCTGCCCAGTATCTCTCCATTCAAACCACTTTCTCCAGCCGTAACAACCTTTAGCCAGTTTAACCTTGTAACTTATGTCACATTAAACGATTAACTTTTTTCTAATAAAAAACTGCTATCTGCTTAAACCAATTCTACGTTGAGATTACATTACAGTTTTAGAACTTACACCTTATAGCCTTACATGAGTAGGAAAATTATCATGCATGTCTATTATATTTAACAACCTTAGTATTTTACCCCACAGTTCTCTATATATTGAATTAAAATTATCCCAAACACATGATGGAGAAACCTTTTTCTGCAAGTTCATTGGTTTTCATACCTGTCTTGTTGAATTTTTGGACTTTTCCTCATTCTTGTGCCCAAAAAAGACATAAACAATCCTGCCTTTTCTCCTCAAAATGAACATTAATTAGCAAAGAAAGGTGGGCGGAATGGCCCAGAGCTGTAATAGCAGCAAAAAAAATGAAGAAAACCCAAAACGTAACTTTGGTCTTAACTCGCTGGCTAATAATCATATTACTGATTAATATGTCTGCAGTTCCTTCAGTCTGTCTTATTAAAATAAACACCGTAGGACAAACATCCTTCTTAGGTCAGTCCTATGAGGTCCGCTGTCATAAGACACTTTTTGAGCATTTCATAAATACCTTAGATGCTCCGACATTCATGTCACAAAAAGTAAAAATGCTGTTATCTACAACACAGTTTAATCTTGGCTATCGGGATTCAGCTGCTCTTTTGGCTGCTGGGTCAGCTCTCTTTTCCTGGTTTTGATGCACTCATACACCTGTGTAGACAACAGCTTTATATTCAGCCTCTGAAAAATTATGCAGCCCCCTGGGTATAGTTTTCATCATTTCTTTATAGTAAAAATCCTTGATATTCCCTTTGGCAAAGCAAAGCCCTCTGCCTGGCATATTAGTTTGTTGTGTTTGCCAAGCAGAAAATTTAGCCACAGACCAGACAAAAAAACCCAAGACACACCATTAAAAAATACTACAAGCCGCGTGCGTCTCCAATAAATCACATTTCTTACCAGAAAAAAAAGGAATTCAACAAGAGTGTCTCAGGCAGGGAAGCATCAGACTGATTTTGACACAAAGCTGATCCTGCCAAAGAGGTTCATGCCCAATGATTCACCATGACACAATAAAAATTAAATTAGGCCAAATCCCAGACCAGGTCCAAATGTTGTGTTCCCAGTTTTTTGTGTCTTCCTCATCTTTTAACTTTGAGTTAAAATAACTTAGGCTTTCAGCAGTTTTAAAGGCTTCTGAGAGTTTGTTCCAGATAAGTGGCGCTACAAATAGGTATTTGAAAACCTGTCTATCAACTAGAATTCTGACCCTAAAAGACCTGTTAGTCTGGCTTCAAAATGTCCACGTCCACTCCATTTATTATCCTTAATTAGATGCACCTGTTTGATGTTGTTTGCTGCCTAAAGACACCTGTCCACCCCATACAATCAGTAAGAATCCAACTACTAACATGGCCAAGACCAAAGAGCTTTCCAAAGACACTAGAGACTAAATTGTTGACCTCCTCAAGGCTGGAAAGGGCTATGGGAAATTGCCAAGCACCTTGGTGCAAAAAGGTCCACTTTTGGAGCAATCATTTGAAAATGGAGGTAGCTGAACAATGTCAATGTCAATGTTGACTGTCAATTTCCCTCAGACTGGGGCTCAATGTAAGATCTCTCCTTGTGGGGTCTCAATAATCCTAAGAAAGGTGAGAAATCAGCCCAGAACTACAGGGAAGGAGCTGGTAAATGACCTGCTAAGAGCTGGGACCACATTTTCCAAGGTTACTGGTGGTAATACACTAAGACATCACTGTTTGAAATCATGCATGGTACAGAAGTCTCCTCTGCTTAAACTAGCACATGTCAAGGCCAGTCTTAAGTTTTCCAATGACCATTTGGATGATCCAGAGAAGTCATGGGAGAAACTTATGTGGTCAGATGAGACCACAAAAGACCTTTTTGCTCATAATTCCACTAACTGTGTTTGGAGGAAGAAAAATGATGAGTACCATCCCAAGAACACCATCCTTACTGTGAAACATGGGGGTTGTAGCAGGAGAGGATGACCTGGGCATGCCCTGAAAGCTCACATGACCGTGTTTTTACTGATGAAAATAGATTTAATTTTTAACTTTCTAACTGGCTACTAATTGATCAATGATTAACAAGCTGAAAATCAACAAATTAGTTGTCAACAGTTAATAAACCCACAAAAAATACCTGTTTTTGCTTCATCGATAGATGCAGGAACCACAAGTTCAGGTTTCCAGACATATTTTTAATGTTAGAATCATTTACAAAAGAACTATAAACAAATTTCCTATTAATATATAAATTAGCCAAAAACTAGAGAAATTTGATTTATATTGTGTCCGTTATTCCCTACCCTTTCATTACGCCCAAAGGAACAGAATCTTTTTTTTTTGGCAGAATGTCACCTATTCAGCAAGCTAAAGAATGAAACCCTTTTCTGAGCAGTGGAGACTCTAGGGGTGATTGAAGAGAGTCATGTATATGTACATATTGATGCCACACTCTCACTTTTCTCAGGAGATTCTCTGCTGAGGCCTCAGCTGCTCAAGATGACGTCCTTCACCCTGGATAGACTGACCATTTCCCTCCAGCCTTCCCTGGAGAAGTTTGAGAGCCTTCTGTTGCAGCTCATCAATGCTGACTGCCAAAACACAGTAAGGCCAAGTCTTCACAACTAGCACAATCTTTTCTGTTTTATATGCATGTGACACATTTCGTGCTGCAATAAAAAAAAAAAAAGTTTGTTGCGGAGAGTTATGCGATTCTATCTGAGGATTTTTACTAACTATAAAATCTTGCAGCATGCCACAGCTTTGACAGCTGAATACTTTTACAACTGAATAGAGATGCAGGAAGGAAAAACATTTCCCGCTACAGACTGAGGAATGAATTCCAGTTTATCTTTACTCCTAAAGCAGTTTGTCTTTTACCTTATCTTACATCCTACAGCATCTTCATGCATATTATACAAAATGTGTTTACAAGGGAGAAACGAAACCCTTATACAAAGAGTAAATAGCCCTGCCTTCCTTCTATCTAGGTACATGTTCCATGCATGAATATTATCTTGCTTACAATTCATCACTCTGAGATTACGGTTTTCCACACGTCTCAAAGTTACAGATAGCCACGATGGCATTGACACACCTTTGCCAATGATGTTTTCTTCAGCTTGATGATTTCCTTGATCCCACTTTCCATTTCTTTGGTGTACAAGCACTGGCCCACTTTGCAGCTGCCACTGCAATTTAGGCCATATCCTTTGCAAAGTAGATGGAGCTTATCTTTTTTCTTCCCTTTTTTCTTGTCTATAGCAACCCTGATGGTTAACCTTATTTGAGAGGTGCAGCTTCGGACTACCAATATATGTAAAGTGGCTGCACACTATCTGTTCACTTGCGCTTAAATGAGATGTGTCCTTGGGAGGGATGAGAATTGTTATGACAACGCTGTCCGTCACTGTAACCATCTCACTGCTGTTTGCTTCTCCCGGGCTCGGATCTTCAAAGTCAAACACGGGGCACTGTGAGTTGATTATGTTAAGCGTATAGTGACCACTGGACCACCACCTGATAAATTAATGCAAAAAAAAAGTCTGTGGTAGGATATTCCCTTTTTTTTTCAAAAAAGGAAAGAAGAAAAACTGGCCCTATACTTTATGGTTAATTTAATCTACATCTATTTTCAATTCATAGCTTACAAACATAATTTAAGCAAAACTTGAATAGTTTATTTAAAGTATTTGAGGGTTTCTTTCTTTATTTTTCTCAAAATGTAATCTGGGAACCCCCCTAAAGACTTTCCCAAAGGTTCTGCCCTTTGAACCAACAACTGCTGTTGTTGTTATTTTTAAATTTACCAGCAACTGCAAAGCAATTCTCCAAATATGGCTACTTTGAAAGAGGTCTCCACAACTGCTGCAAATGAAAAGGAGTCTACTGCATTGCAGTAAATAAATAGATGGATAACTTGCCTCATACTGTTACTCGATCAAGTAGTTATTACTTGTCTGTCTTTTCCTTTATATTTTTTTGAATAACTTTTATTACATGAGGGAAAGAATAAACAACAAACATGCGTATTTAGGTTTATGCATGTAAGCTGCAAGATGTATCTTCTGAATGTGGTTTATCAGTAAACGTACTTAATAATAATAATTAATAATTGAACTTTATTGATCTCACATTGGAGAAATTTACCTCTGCATTTTCCCCATCCCCTTGGGGAGCAGTTGTCTGCCATAGTGAGGTTCTCGGGGAGCAATTGGGGGTTAAGGGTCTTGCTCAGAAACATAGAGTGGAGGCAGTGGGATTCAAACCTACTTTACATCAGGACAGTCTGTGTGATACACCAATACAGTCACAACAAAGGTTTGAAACATGATGGTGGAACCATCATGCTGTGGGGATGCTTTTCTTCAACAGGCACAGAAAAGGTGGTTAGAAGAAAAGAAAACCTTTAGGATCCCCAAATCTTTTGAATCACTTGAAGGTCTAAAAACTTTAACTTGCGTTTAAAAAGTAAAACTTCCTTTAACTAGAAAGTTTTACATAAAAATATGCATATTTTTAGAACATATACCTAACCTTTTCTTTATAGGATAATTCAGTCCATCTTTAGCTTTTTAAACCAATCATAAGGTATGTCAATTGTTGGTTGAAATTCCATAATTAATAACTAAATGTCTGCTATTTTAGAAGTAAGGCCGCTAAACCAGCATTTTGATTTATATTCATTTAGGAATTATGAATTTTAGATACGCAACTTTGGCTCATAATATTTGTATTTTTTTCTTAAAACAAGAAAAATCCATCATGTTTAAGAATATTTGGCTTATTTTATTGATGCCGTGTTTTTATAAAAATGTTTCTATAGATGTGCAAAGCTGACGGTTTCTTTAATTGCAATGAAACCTCATCCTGCAACATATCAACTCAAAAATGCTGAATTCAAATGCACACAGCATCAAAAGAAGCAAAATTCTGAAAACATACATACAATACAATACAATGTACATCTGTGCCAGGTGTATGACAAGATGTTAAAAACATTAACAGACATGAGAACTTAAACCAATGTTTAAAAAAAAAAAAAAAAAACAGTTTGAGCAAAAGCTTAGAAGAGAAGCAATTTTCTTCGCTTAAGACTGTATTCCTCCAGTATTTTCAAAAGAAACTATTGACATAATATTTGAACATTTGCTACAAAGGTTTTTAGGGATAAAAAAAAATATGGTTCTTATTCAGAAATCAAACATCAAATAAACTGGGATCATGTATTATATTCGATCTTTTGTGTTTTTTTCCCAAGTTCTAACTTGTTACTAATGGGCTGCATTCTGGGCTACTCTCAGACACTTTAAGGCATGAGCAGATGCTGAAGCTCAGATTGTGCAAATAAAGATTTATTGCACCACTGCTACAATTACATTCAAGATCTGTTGAAGCAACAATAGAGCTCAAACTGGGTAAAAGATTTAAATTCTTTCAATTTGGCCGCCTCTCCTGTATAAATGTGTGTCAAAGTAAAATACACATTAACAGCAAAATGTAAAGCGAGCCATCAGACTTTTGAGCAGCTGACCTTATTTTCAAGGATTAAGTTGTTGAAACTCTGCCAGCCTGGCTTTTATCCTTATGTATGCAGTCAAGTTCTACTGTGCTTGCGTATGTAACACTTCCCCTATATACAAAGTGCAAACAATGAAAAGTCAACTACAAGTTTCCCTCTGAGAGCTAAGTGACATGTTAGTGTGAATAATGTTCTCTTTTTGGTGTGCACAGTTCTTTTCTCCCCTCTTCTTTATAACTTCTGCTGAATGACGACATTTGCACGTCTGTGAGAAGTGTTAATACATGCAGAAGTCAGCTTGATTACAGCTTTTAATTAAAATGTGTGTGTGTGACAGAAATAGTTTGAGAAAAAAAAAAGGGTGTGTGTGCCATATCTGCATGACCTTTAAACGTGTGAATTCGTCTGGATTGTCATCAAGCTGTCTATGAGGTGATGCTGACACCTCACCCGTCGACTCAGTTTTCCTGTAGCAGGGGAGAATGTCCATGCGTGTGTTTGATACCAACGCATGTGCTTAAACTGATGATGAGACAGGAATGGGAATGAGGGGAAAGAAAAAAAATGAAACTGAAAAGAGGAGGCAAATGACTGCACAGCACAGCATGTGACGAATCCTTCATGTTAGCTGTAACTCAGACAGTCTTCACATAATCTCTAAGTATTGCTATTTTTAAACTCCACCGACCAATCCAGCTTCTTTTACAATCCACTTTCCCTTATATTTTACAGCCGCAGTGGAAGCTTACAGGTCTGTAATGTGAACTACTTTAGCTACTTTCCACCAATTTTTAGCACACCTTGATGACTAAGATAAACGGTGGTCCTTAAGCTCTCCACCCTCTAGCCTCTTGTCAAAAACAGACACTACTCACCTCCAGGGTTGCATGAAAAAGCGTGCCCTCCTGCACTAGTTCAAGCACAGCCAAAGGCTTTATTACCTTAAATGTCTTAGAGCAGAAGAACTAACCTTCCGCTCCAATATTTCTCTTCATGAGATGGCCAGAGATGTTGTTTGTAGCGTTGTAGCTTTTGTCTCAAAAAGCAGATAGATCAAAAGTGTATGCAGAGAAGGAGGGGAGCAGGCAAGGACCACTGCCATGCTGCAGGCAGAACAAAGCGCCTTAGGCTGATATAATGAATAGAGAAAGAGTTTGGCAACGAAGCTCCAGGAAGTTTTCAGTTGTACTGAAAGAACAAAACTCACTTAAAGTGGGACTGCCCCTGTGGACGAACCACGATGAAAAATACAAAGGAGGTTGAGCATTTTTGAAATAGGAGGCGTCTCACACATTGTTCTCAGAGGACAGTTTGGCTGCCGGCTGGTCACCACTGTAACCGATGCGGCCCTAATGGCATAGCTCACATCACATATTCATGGGATGCAGGTCTTTGTAATGACAAATTATCATAGTTCCTATAAACTGGACAAGACTGAGGATTCACTGCAGATAGGGAAAGATTCATTTATGAACCTTTAAACCCTTTATACAACTGTCTATGATGGGGTAAGTTATATTATTTAGAGTTCCTGAACCTTCTTTAGAGGAAGATCCTTTGAAGTCCTGATTTGATAACTTGAAACATATGGTTGTAATATATGCTTAATTTAGGCCTGCTGGTTTTAGACATTCAATAAGCCTGTTTGACATTAAACAGTACGATCACTCTAAGAGGAATACTGCAGTATTAAAGTATTCACTTAAAACCTAAAAGAAAAAGAGGAATATTTGCGATATTTTTTAATTAATTATTCCTACTTGTACAAAAACCATAAGACATCAACTATTTCAGTTACAGTGATTTTAGAATTGAACAAAACTATGGAAAAAAACATCCCCAAATTCTAGCAGTAGTTTTAAATGTGTGTTTTTTTGTAGTTTTTTTTTTCTTCTGGTGAAGTGCAACTGACAGACCGAGCGTCTATCAAGGCCCTAAGTGACATTTTATCTTGGGACACTCAGATGATGAGACCACTCCCATCCCTATCATAAATACTATTATATTTTCAAGCTTGAAACGCTAAGTTTTCTAGAAGAGGTTCCTTCAGTTCTAACTAGTGGCAGGGAGCACTGACGTTAAT